TTCTTTCCCACCCTGTTACTGCTGGTTCACAAAGATAACATGATAAATTTAACCCCAATACTAGGCTGTTATAAATCCTGAGAGTGACTCAGTTACATGCTGATTTACATAAGACAATATGCTGAAAAAGAATAATCTTTCTTTTAACATAAAAGAGTCTCTTCCTGAACTTATGAATCAGATATAAAATTTGCAGAATAACTGTGCTGCAATGACCAGCCAAGGATTTCCCCGAAATCCTCATGGTGAATAATTTTAAGTAAAGTGGATTCTAAATTGCTATACTATACCAAGAAGTGGAAACATACTAAGTGTAATGAGCACATAGGATATGGTGTGATTTACCAAACATATTTGATACTTTGTGTTTTTCAAACTCGGTAACTTTTAACATATGGACTTCACCTCCCAGAATTCCCCAGCCAACATGTTGGCTGGGGAATTCTGGAAGTTGCAGTTCATATATCATAAAGTTGCCGTGTTTGAGAAACACTGCTTTAATAGGTGGTGATGGTTGTAATACCCCTGCACTTTTATAGTTAAAGGACTTGATTCTTCCATTTGTATAAGCACTTTGTAAATGTGTTTGTTTCATTTAAATTATCCAGTTTTACAGAATCTTTGGGAAACATCCACATGTCAGCTGCATATGCTTATAATAGTACTTGGTATTACACATCTAGAAGTGTGGCATTTTTAATATCCCTAAAAAAACAAGAATTTAAGTCACCTCAGTTGTGCATTTGCATTTCCTGATGGCAGTTATGTGGCAGTTTTGAGCCAAATGACATGGTCAGCAAAATCGTGGATCTAAACATCGAGCAGAACCAGGCTTCCTTCATTTCAGATTGCAGGCAGGAAATCAGTTTAATGAGTAAGAAATAAAGGAATTGTAGCTATGTTAGTTGACTAGGTGGAAAAATTCAGTCTTAATGCAGTTATTACCAAATTTATAGGAAGACAAGTTTTAAAGTCAAGGGCCCTATGCCTATCAGAAATATTGCAGCAACCGCTTTTTGTGACTTTTGTTTCTTATATTCAGAGAGATATTAATTTGCAAAAAATTGCAAACAATATTTGTACCAGTCTATATTCTGTGGTATCAGTATCAGGAAAAGGCTGCGCCATATGATTCTCCTAACAGTGTAGACTTTTTTTTTAAAATTGCTCACGGTATCATTTAACTGTGTTCTATTAAAAAAAATGAAATGTGAATAATTGTAGATTATCACAGATTGCTATATGGGTATTCATCTTTTTTTAAACTGGCAATTGTACTACACAGAAGTCATCTTTTTGTCTAGGGTAAAGCACTCTCTCTAAGGGTAAAACATGGGTAGCTTTGCCTCAAACACACTGCAACCTTTTGTTACTTTTTACTATCTACATTTGTACTTTCACGGTACAGTTAGCATTTCAATGATCATCAAAAAGCAGGATTGTCTCTGTCTGTTGGGTTTGGTTGTGTGCATATTCCAAATAATTAATAGAAAGAAAACGGCCTGATCCAACTAAAGCACAGCATTTTAAGTAGTATTGTTTTAAGTGAAAGAAAATCAGGTGTGTGTCTAACTTTTTAGTAAAATAGGTATTTTAAAATATTTCATTTATGCTGGAACTCATCCAAAAGTAAGTAATTTTGAAAATGTAAATTATATAGGTGATGCTGTGCATCTCCTCCCAATCTTAGATCGCTAAGGTGAGTTAGGTATTAATATTTGATTTTTAATAAGACTGGTGACACACTGCAAAGTGTGTTGAATTTTATAATCACTGAGTCTTAAAAAAAACATAGAAGAACATATATACAGTTATGCATTAGACTGATTTCTCTCTCTCTTAATTATCTTGTCTGATGCTTTCCTGGCCTATTCAAAAAGATTACCTGAGATACAGAATAAATATTGGGAAGGATGGTAATACTTTGGTTCAACTTGATACCATTTTGAAGACCGTTTTTGAAAAAAACCTTTAAAAGACTCTCATTACCTACAGAACCCAAACGAAAGAAATTATAAAACATTAAATCTGCTGCCTTTTGAGATGTAAAACAGTCCAGTTTTATTTTTCCTACTGTTTGAAACATCAATGGACTCTCGTGCACCTGTGATGCTCCTAATGGCTGTGAAACGCCTGAAAATGCCCTCACGGCGTAGTGGTCAGGTGTACGGTGGCAGCAAAACCACAATTGGTCAGTGCCAGCACACACATATCTCACACAGTGGCGGCAAATCACCTTAGTGATAAGTGCCTGCGCACTAAACCTAGGTGATGGCGGCAGGGCCAAAAGGTGGGCCAGCACACTTTAATATTGCGAAAATTGACAAAAGGAGTAAAAGGCAAAAGAGAGGCCTCTGGGCTCAATTTCCGATGTATTGCTCTGGGCAACAGTAGGCTTGGCCTCCCTGAGGAGTAAGGTTTGCTGTAGTCTGGAAAGGAAATTGAATCTCTCCGTTGTCATATCGTGGAGCAAGCCAATAGACCTAAAATGGCGCCCGCCTGCTGAGGGCGTTTTAGGAGTGCCCTGACTCCTCAGGAATGTAAGTGTCAATCAGGGATTAAACATTAAGGGAACAGCTGATGCGATAGCCGCTGACCTTAATTGAGCTGTCGATGGAACAGAAACAGAGAAAATCTGCTTCAAATTTAATGGGGCGGCTGTCCTTACGGCATGCAAAATGGCGGCCACAACAAGCGTGCCAAAAAACAGACAGCAGTGGAGGCTTCAGGCCGAATGCTCAGCTGGCCTGTGGATGGCTGCGGCGCGCCCCGTGGAGCCCGCTGCTCAGCTGTGCTGCGGCTGACCGTCCGTGCGCTTTCCTGAAGCTGGCACTCAGTCGGATTGCTGATATTGGTCAGCACGGCTCACTAATTAGCTGCTGACAACGGCCTGGGGCAGCTGTGGCCTCAGGTTGTAATGATTGGGGAAGGGAAGAACCCTGCTGGGAGGATTATCGCAGCGCTGATCGCAGTGCTGCAATGAAAAAATTTAGAGAGTCCACGAATGGAAAGTTCATACAACCTGCTAGAAGGGGCGTTGTCTTACCTGAACGCCTTTTATAGATCCTAACCTGCAATTGACTGAGAGCCAAACCTGACACGTCGTCAAGAGCTGAGACCAAGTTAAAGACTGGGCAGCAAGAGGGGGCGTGTCAAGTTTGACTACTTGGTCTCAAGAGCAGGCATCCAATGAAAACCCATCGGTGAATTCTCCATCTCCTGTACTGGAGAAAGGTCTGACACTGGAGCCAAAAACTATCGTGCCCTGCTGGGCATAAGACTAAGTTGTAACTGGGTGGTACTAGCCCAGCAGGAGGCATGGCAACTTTGTCAGACTTAGTCTATTGGGCAGGAAGACAGACTAAACCCATTTGTGGATTCTCCATCCTCATGCTGGAGAACACTTTATTTGGGAGCCTGTATCTCATTTTCAAGAAAGGCATAAGCAATTTTTGGCCATTATATACAATGAAGCTAGATTTGGCTAGAGAATTTTCCATGTATTAGTAGAAGAGGTGAGTTTGGGATAGGATCTTACCATGCCAAAATTCAATTTTGATTCATGTCAATAAAGGAGGGAACTAATGTTATAGGACATCTTTTTACAACTATTATATTAAAAGTGATAACTGCACCATGACTAGATTTAAGGTGGATCACAGCAATGGAACTTTTTTGAGTGGGGGTGGGAGATAGGAAGTGGAAGAAATGAAATGGAAGCCAACGTATAAAGAGACAGTGTTCAAATGCTGAGAATTTAGACTATTAAAATGTGAACTGCTCCTCAAAAATCACACATTATTTGAGGCGAATGGGATGAGATCACTGCACATGATCTGTAACTTATTCTTGTCCCTAAATCTAATGTACCTACTATAGAGTAGAGATATCCTGGATAACAAAGAAATATTGCACAATTCTACTTCATCTACTGGTCAAAGAGGAAGCCTTGGTTACAAGATAGCAATGTCTGTCATTTGTTTTACCTGCCACCCTTCTCTGTGAATCTTTATTCTCTGAAGTTTAAAAAAACAATGGGAGGGGAGAATGATTGCTGTTTCAGCACTAAGCAGGAGTGGAGAATGGTATCAATTTGAAATAAAAGCATATAAGGTCCTCTGCCCCCACTGGGAACAAAGAATATTCTAATTATTGCTCCCAATATGCAAAGGACAGAATTCAAGGTTTTGAAACTACTTTTATAAGTGTGTTTTCTAAATCCCTTTAACCTTTAGCTATTATCCATGAATAGCAATGGTATGTTATGAATGAATAGGTATATGAATATGCTGGCAACAGGTTTGGAGTTATAAACTTTCAGTTAGTGTTTGATAATAAAAGAATAATCTACCCCAATGTCTACATGTTCTCATTTCTAATCCTAACAACAGGGTACATTGAAGACATTGAAAAACTACAAAATCAACTATTCAACCACATGAAGTCAGGAAAATATCGAAATAAATAATTTGTTTTAAAATAACTATAGAATACTTATTAGAGTATAAATGGCATTTTTTTCTTCAAAAACAGAAGCACCAGTCTTAAGAAATGTGGTATGAGAAATATATAATAGGAAGTGCCAGTGGCATCTGAGTTCTGGATAAGATTCTTTTAGAAAAGTGTACACTGAAATCAGTTTAAATGGGAGTGTCATGCTGAATTTTAAAGACCAGATCTCCTTGGTATACAGTCTAATACTTACATGACCGTGTTAGGAAATAAATATGCCAGAACAGGGGAAATGGTATGTTTTTATGACATGCTGAGGTTCACTCTTCCCCACCCAGTCCCTAAATGGTACAATGGTTTTGATTGGAGTTGGAAAATATTCTTAACTCAGGCATATTCTTCATAGGTTGCTGTAAATTTTAATGCGGTGAGATCAGATTCTAAGACCAAATCAGTTTTTTCTTTAATATTGAAATTGTTTCAGTCATTACGAGTGAACTGTGAAAAGAGATGACGTCCAATGTAGGGAGTAGACATCCCTTTCTCCATCATGTGACTTCTGCAAAGGCTGTGATGTGGTTCTACAAAGGTGAAAAGAACAAAGCATGGAAGTCATTCAACTATAAAGATGAGAGGTGCATTTTCCCACCCTCACCTACCACAGAAGATCCCATAGTTTAGACTTTAGTAGCCCTTCAGAGATTCACCTCTACATATCTCAAGAAAATCTAAAATGCTTTACAAAATATTCCACATACATTAATTAAATCACCATTCTTAAATGACTAAGTTCTTATACACTTAAACTGGAATCCAAATTTTACAATTATTTTATAATAAGTAACTACAATATAAATTTTAAGAACAAACATGGCAAAATCTGGTAAATCAGATTAATACTATTTTAATTCTGCATTTGTTTCTTTTAAAGTTTCATAACTCTTGAAACAGGAGAAACTTAAATGAAAATTGTATTTACTATCCAGCAGAAGGCAAACATGTCCTCTTTCATTAATTAAAATTTCTTCTTTATTCAATCTACTCTCCACTGTTTCATTCAGCAGGATGCATCTATATATTTCTTGTGTAAACATGTTCATAAGAAAATACATGCATGTGTACAAAGCATTTTAAAGAGGTAATAGGTCATTCTTTATAAGGGCCAAGTTTAAGTTTAAATTGGCTTAAAAGATAATATGTAATACGTAGGCAGGTAAGTTTCATAACTACTTAAAGTACTGAACAGGGATGAACAGGGGATTTGATCTATGAAAACAGGATTCATTGAAATTAATAGATATTTTCATGAACTTCCTTATAAACGTGCATTAGAGTCCACTGGATAATAGGTCTAGGTTTCTTGCTAAGGATTCTAATCTAGATCAAATCTCCTGTTCACTTCAAGCAAATATGAACTTCTCTCCCCCCCACCCTTACATCAAAATACACAGAAATACCCTCTGGATATTGGTTAATCAGGATTTCTTGCCTCCAAAGGGCCTTGACCCGGATTGGAAATTCATAGAAATACCCACGGAAGCCAGAGATAAAGCCCTGATTAATAAACCTCAAGTGGAGAATCTTAATTCATTTGGGTTCCCTGTCTATTTTTGGTGTAAAGAAAAACAATCTGCTAGTTGTCTCTCAAGTTGTGGTAAGCAATCTTCAAAAGTTTTCATTATGATTCCATAGCAGCAAAGCCACTAAAAACATTTGAGAGGCACCAGACTTTATAATTTTGCTATAAAGAAACACTGTATTTGGTTGTTTGAGGCTGAATGGCAGCAGGAAAAACCCTATTTTAGAATGATATGGAATTGGGGGGGGGGGATTGTAAATGATTGTCCAGCCTTGCCCAGACTCTGCTTGAAAACCTTCAGGGAATGATAGTTACTCATTTCAATAACTGGTTCTCTGGCTGAACAACATCTAATGTAACTTATAAAATCTATCCATTTGTATAAGTTAGTCCCCTTTAAATCACGTCTTGCCCTTTAGCGCTGCACAGAATATATCTTTTCCCTCTTTCATGTGATAGCTCTTAGGTATCTGAAGAACCCTTCAAATAATCATTTCCATTGTTATGAATTTCCATTGATTCTTGCTATTTATTTAGGAACAATAAAAATGCCAATTAAAATAGTAGCGTTTGAAATTTAAGTTTCATTCTACCTGACGGGAGAAATAAAAAAAAAAATGGTGCCTGCAACTTCATAATTTTTACACGTATCGCACGTTTTAAAAGGGTGGGGCTTCAATTTTGGCTGTTTGGTCAGACACCCCTAACCCTTAGCCATATGCCTTCAATCACTCTTCCGTGCTTGAAACCCTATGTCTCAGTCTAGAAAGAAGTGTTTTGTAGAGACTCCTGTCGGGAATATTGAGGACAACTATTGATCTAGGCTTGAAAACGCCTCTAATGGCTAATGTCTGTGTCCTTAGGATTCCATTCATATCTAGTAGTCTTAACTGTGTAATCCTAAAGTTCCTTAAAGGAGCATGCTGAAGGTTCCTGAACCTGTAAAATAATTAAAAAAATCAGTATAATGAGATGTAGATTTCTCTTGTTTTAATTGGAGTTGATCGTGACCATAATACCACCCGAACGATTGATCAGGCAGTATAAACCTTTTTGTGGTCGTACACATGACTTTTGGATATATTAAGCCACCAAGCAGTGCAACAGACATGAGCCTATTGTAATGAAGCCACTGGAGTGGATGGATGGGATTTTCAGCCTTCAGAAGCCCAGAGATTGGGAGACACCCTTATTTTTGAACGCATCTTTTACATCTGTGGCCAGCTTGTCCCAATTTCTTTTTTTAACGAGTGAAAAATTGCGCCTGCATCTTTTCTTCTTGGTAGTAAATTCCGTGGTACGTTTTTGTGCAGTGGCCACAGAATGACCTCTTCTAAAAAACACAAGGCTCCACTTTTGCATCAAATGCATGTCTTTAAAAAAAATGGTGGAAGAAGTGCTACACACAAAGCACTCAAAGGGACATTGCAGCAAATATGTTAAGTGGAGCAAACTCTTTCTCCTTAGAGACTCAGTGCAGCTCCTTCAAGAGCTTTTCCATATATGCATACATGCGCGCGCAGAGGTATTCTGCTTCACAAGGAAGTTCTGGGTGCAGACAGCCTGGGAAAATCCTTGAAGAAGCTTTTCTTCTGCAGAATTTTAAGTGTCTCCACTTTGAACAAAAGTGCTTTTTTTTTGTAACGGTGTGTTTCATGAAGCACCTTTTCAAACGCTTTGCATTGATCTACTGGGAGATTCAAGGAATCTATTTTTAAGTCAGCCATTCCTCATTCCAGAACTGTAAAAGATATAGGGCATAAGGTAAAGCTTTTTGGAGTTCTCTGAGTATGAAACCTTCAACAATGCCTTTTGATCTAGCAGTCAGAGCAGACACACTGAAACCCATGCCAAAATAAAAAAGAAATCCAGATTATATTATCAAATTCCTCAGTGAATGTTTGTTGGCACAAGCATTCACTATTAATTCACCACAATGTTGTGTTTAGTTTTGTGAACAAGCAATGCACAAGTTTATATTTTTGTAACAGCAGAGGTTGTTACTAGTAAGAGCGACAGAAAAAAAACAAAACATGCACAGCATGGCAATAGTTATTTCCAACCAATATATCACTGGAGATGATCCTGTGATCCACTGGTATGAAGAGCAAACTGGAAGAGCAAAAACTATAAAATATCACCATTAAAATATCAAAATATATTAAACCTGAACCTTAAGTGCTGGTTTCCATTTTTAAAAATAGAAACCATACTTATAGCAATATGCCAAATAATGATTCTTGCTATTTGAAATAGCATTCCACTCACGTAAAGTACATTTTGGCAACATTAGTCATTTATAATATAAATCTTCAGTAATGCACAACTTACTAATCATTTTGAGTATGGACAAGCATACAGAACACAGGATATAATTTACCTGGTACTCCTAGTCACGTTACAGTCTGTGCATTTCGTTAAAATGCAGCATTAAACTGCATTTGACCATACATGTCATCTCAGTTTTTAAAATAGTTTAAAAACATTTTTTCTCCCGACTATGCAGGAGATAAAGAGTAGCATAGAATAAAAATGCCGTTTCACAAACTTCTGTTTCTCAGAAAGACCCCTGCCTGCACTGAAGGTTCAGATATGTCCCTTGCAAGACAGCGTTTAAACACACCAGTGCGCTTGTTTGCACACATAACTTTATTGCCTTATATGAAGATGTTCAAACTGGTCCATTCCCGTTATCCAGGAGAATAGCCTAAAGAGCTGGGCTTTAAAAGAGTGTTCTTGAAAAGGTTCTTCTTGACCACGATTAGCACCTGGGTTCTGTAACATGTACAATAATTGCATCACTTGAATCATATCTGGACAGCTTTCATTTTTCTTCATCTTACCAGCAGGTAACATAGAATGAGGAGGACTTTGTTTTTAGTTTTAACTTAAATAAAAAGTGTATATAGGCTACTCTCTGAGGGTCAGTATTGAAGGACAGACATATTTGAAAAGAATAGCAGTTCAAGAGCTATGTATAATCAATACGGTTATCCTATACTTGGCGTGTAAAACATTTAGATTTTGTTTGTTTGTAGGAAAGTAACAATGCAAACTGAACTTCACCTTTAAAAAGTGTTAGTAGAATTATTTTTCACTTATGCATATCCACCAAGATGAATGTATTTGAGAATTACATGTTTCACCGGTACAATACATTTTAATTTGCAAACAGATTTGATATGACCGATGGCACTCAGGGGTTCAAAAGTCCATATGGACTTTTCCTTTCGCCATGCTGCCAGCTCCACATTATCTTTTCCATATGTGCATATAAATCATCATCTTTATTTCTCACCATTTCTCTGGATTTGGAAAAATCCCAAACCACAGGTGTGCTTTAGTTAAGGCTGAAAGCCAGCTTGGTGCAGTAGTTAAGGCATTAGGGTAGAAACTGGGAGACTTGTGAGTTCTAGTCTTCCAGGAGATGGAGAGTTTTAGTCCTGCCTTAGGCACAAAGCCTCCTAGACCAGGGGCGTCAAACTCAATTTCACTGAGGGCAGCATCAGCATTGTGCTTGCCCTCAGGGGGCCGGGTGGGTGTGGCCAGGGTGGGTGCAGCCTACTGGGTGAGCGTGGTTTCGACAGGCAGCGGGGCGCTCTCCTCACAGCGCCAAGAGGTTGAGCCGGGTGGTGCGAAGCTCGCCAACTTTGCACCTTGCTGCCTGCTGAAACTGGGCAGGCTGGGGGCTAGGCAGCATTGCACTTCTCATCAGATTCGCGCCACCCAGCTCAGCTCTTGGTGCTGTGAGGAGAGTGTCCCGCTGCCTGCTGAAACCGGGCAGGCCGGGAGCTGGGTGGCCTCGCATTTCTTTTTGGATTTGCGCCGCCTGGCTCAGCCTCTTGGCGCTGTGAAGAGCGCCCCGCTGCCTGCCCAAACCCCTCCCCACAGCCCATCAAGCCGGATATGTGAAGTAGGCGAGGGCCATTTCCTGGCCACTTCCAGGTGGTGGTGCATTTCTTCATTCCTCACAAAGGGTGACACCTCCCCAGCATGCATCCAGGGAGTGGGGCTGACGCGGCAGGGGCTGGTTCCTCACTGTTTCCAGACGGCCTTGTGGAACTAAGACTGAATGCGTTTCAGCATAGATGGCCACCACAAAATTGTACATTGGCTCCCGGCCGGCCTGGGCCAGGGCCAAGGCAGCGAGGGCCATTCCCTCACTGTTTCCAGGATGGCCTCATGGGCCACATGAAACCACTTCGCGGGCCGCATCCGGCCCCCGGGCCTTGTGTTTGACATGTCTGCCCTAGACCTTAGGATAGTTACACTCCCACAGCTCTGGGAAGGAGGCAATGGCAAGCCACTTCTGAAAAATCTTGCCAAGTAAACTGCAAGGACGTATCAAGGCATTCCTAAGGAAGCATTCTGTGACTAGACAGCACAAAAAAAGGGGGAGGGGGCATGGAGACTGAAAAATTGTGACTGGTCCAAATACACCCAGGTGACTTTGTGCCTAAGGCAGGACTAAAACTCTCCATCTCCTGGTTTCTAGCCCAGTGCCTTTAATCATTAAACCAAAATGGCTTAATCACCCACAAAATTTAAAAGATTTGCGAGTATAGTCCACAAAGCCAGGAAAAAACCCTAATGTTAAAGGGAGTGTCTGTGGAGGGACGAACCAATAGATTTCTGATAAAATTATGCCTTACTACGCTGTACTATAAAAAGATTGGTGCCCCTATGTTACACTTCATGTCAATGAGCTGTTCTATGATTTGATTTCTGAAAAGCAAGATTAATAAACTAATTCCGTCAATTCATACATGTTTATAATACACACTTTAGAGAAGATTTTGCTAGCTGAGCCATTATTTTTATCTGTTTAAAGTT